AAAAAAACTCAAAGAACACAGGGTTTATATAATTGTGCACAGAACACTATGAGCACACTAACCCATTCTACATTTACAAACAAAGAAAGTGGATAGAAATCATATACTGGCTGTTCAAGAAAATGGACAGAAAGCAAACTATCTCCGAAACTAAGGCTCTGTACACTGTATGTGGAATCTGAATGTCAAGACGTATGTTGCCTAATTGTTTTAAAATGAGCTGAACATGAATTTAAATTTGATGTGTACACATCCCTGCCAAGCTGAGCCTCGTACTACTGCCTCACATCAGTTCAGTTTTATCCATCTCTATTTAAAGTGGCACAGTTCAAATGAATTTGCAAATGAAGTGTAAATTTAAATAAGGCTTGCCATTTGACGTCTTTTATCGAGAGGATGGTTTCCAGTTTATTTCCTTATCGCAACCTTGAAACAGGGAAAAGTGGAATTATCACATACATAGAGTGAGTGTAAGTTAAGTCCGTCAGAAGATTTATTTGCATAAGCACACACAGCCAAAGCAGCTCCCTGTGAAACAGCTTTTGATGAAAGACCTTGTTGAGAATATATAACTACTAAACCGTTGAATATTGCAGAGGTTTGTGTCTTTACTCTAAATTATTATGAAAAATATGAATTTTAAAGACCTAATAAATATGTTTAGTATTAACCTAAATACCTACAGTCATACTTGGTTCTTTTGAAAGGATTAAACCCCCAAAATTCTCTCTTTTCAAAGTACTGTTGGGCATTAAAACACACAAAATGAATTATGAAACATGCAAAATAAAGATGCTATGCTTCATTAAATAATTACATTTCCTCTTTTAAAATAGTGCTGCATTATTCCCTGTGTGTTAATTTCATAATCAGAAACTACAAGTGTTCTTACAGGACCTCCAGTTTGACAATTAAAGTTCAGTTTGCTGGGGCACTCAAATACTCACCTGGTAGAGCTGGTGCACCGTGTACCAAGGCTGGGTCCTTGCTGCAGCAGCCCTCGGTTTGAACCCGACCTGTGGCCTTTTGTTGCGTGTCACCCCCTTTTTCTCCCCCTTTTCTCTCAATCTTCAGCTGTACTATCCAATAAAAGGCTAAATCTATATAAAAAGAGCTTGCTTAGCCATCATTTATGCACCACGTACTGTAACGGAGAAGTGTGAGCGCCCTCGTACACCATCAGCACTGAGGCACATTTGCATAAGTTCTGTTACTTACAGTGACTAAACGAAATGCCTGTCTTAAAACTGATTATCTTGACTGTGAAGAGACAAGAACAGCAGCAACAAAACAATAAAGATTAGGAGCTATAAAGAAGTAAATAATGTAATTATCTAAGGCTGAAATGCTCTTGAGCGTCTGTTAAGACAAATCAGGTTTTATTGGGACACACAGGATTTGCAGTTAACAGACTGTCATGAGGCGAGTATTTTCTTTAAAATAATTTCCATTTACAAGAACTACATCATTTTGGAAGTACTCTAACATAACCTAAATGAATCATCTCCATGTTCATTTCCATGTTTTGGTCTCATATATATATTTCACACAACTTGCGTTGGAATTGTTTCCTTCTCAATTGTATGCGTTGGGACCAAAATATTTCTCACCACTGTTGTATCTCTACAGCTGTACAATATGAATCTTCATGAGTGTGCCACCTTCGCTGGCCAGGAAACCTATAATGTGCCTCTGATATCTGTGATGAATTTCACACATACTTGTCCTGATGATAAAGCTGACTAATGCCGACATCTTGGAAAATGTGACGACTGCTTTATTCAAATAATTAGAAAGCATTTTGACTTGATGATGAACATTTGTATGTTTGATTGTGAATTGTTTTACACACAATAATTAACATGTTTTTACACGTACATCATGTTTTGCATGTGAGCATAATACTAATTATGATACATTTGTTTATCATATAACCTACATATATTTCATGCATGTAATTCATACATAATGGCCTTATTTATCTTTTACTTTACACAGCTAACACCTCTCATAAATGATAAATATAGACATTTAAAGTACTCTTTCCATTCACAGTTAATGCACCAGTAAACAAGAATAAGGGATGATTAATACAATACATGTTCAGATATTTCTAACTTACATATATTCTAAATAAGTTATGAACATAGACTTAGACTTAGACTTAGACATAGACTTCTCTTATTGATCCTTTTGGGATGACTCCTGCGAGGAAATGAATTTCCAGCAGCTTACAAAACAGTGTAGAAAAATAAAGAGATATAAAAAATGCAGTACAAGATAAACAATAAACTCTTTGCTAGATATACAAAGTAGACAATAAACAGTAAACAATAAACTCTTAGCTATATATAGAAAGTAGAGATAAGAATAAAAATAAAATAAATTCACGGAAAATTAAATTAAATAAGATAAATGTAGAGAACTGTATAGAGGATAAATATAGATAAATAAAGATAAATATATAGGACAGTATATGGCATTGTGTTGTTTAACAGTGAATAAATGACATTAGCAGAAATTAGCAGTTAAATTAAATTAAATTATTGCACTTAAGTGGTGGATCAAGTTATTGCACAAAAAAAAAAAAAAAGTAAGAAGAGTGTCCAGGTATGTATGAGTAGATTATTATTATTGCACAGTGAGTGGCTACCACTCCTTTCCTTCTATCCTCTTTACCCTTTTCCTCCTCCCCCCGAATGAGGAGTTGTAGAGTGTGATGGCACGAGGGACAAAGGAGTTCTTGAGCCTGTTGGTCCTACACTTGGGAAGGAGCAGCCTTTCACTGAACAGGCTCCTCTGGTTGCTGATGACGGTGTGCAGGGGGTGGCTGGCATTGTCACTAATGTCCAGCAGTTTCTCCAGTGTCCTCCTCTCTGCCACCGTCACCGGTGAGTCCAGCTTCATGCCGACCACAGAGCCGGCCACTAACGACGCACTAAACATTTCAGTGTTTTCACTGTTCTTCCACTGTGGTTAAAACTCAAGCTCTCCACATATTACGTGCTATGAAAATCAGTCATAACCATTGTATATACATTGGAAACAGCCAAATATTTGAATACCCATCTTCTTGGAGCTTCCAGCCAAGGAATAATCTTATTTACATGAGATAGCAGAGAGGAAATTATATCAGAGATGATATGGTGAGTTTCTGTGATCTGGTTTTACTGCTGCAGTTTAAATAAGCAGATGCAGACACTGAGGAGCTTGACTTTATACCACAAGACTGTAAAGTTTGGAAAAAATCAGAGGTAAATGCAAAAACATTTTTTTAGTTAAGGTGTATCTTAACATTATACCGGACTTGATCTTATGTGATTGAGACACAGTAGTATTTGCTGTTTACAGGCACACAAGAAACCAGGTTACTGCAAGAAATCTGATTAAAACAGGAAATTGTAATCACAGAGGCGCGCACACACACACACACACACACACACACACACACACACACACACACACACACACACACACACCACACACCGGGAGGGCTGTTACAGTCTAGCTCTACAAACAACCAATTATCTGAGGGTCTGTTTATGTTCAGCCAATCAGTGTCCTGCTTGCCTCCTCTGCCTTTTCTGGCTCCAGGAAGCAAAATAAAGTCGTCTGTTGAGGAAGACATTTATTGAAATCTACTTCCACCTTGTGGTTGATGCTAATATTACAGCAGCAAATAGAAAGCGTTGATTGAAGATGATGATAAAGAAGACAATAACAAACAAGGTACAAAAGGTGAAATCTTAATTTCAAAACACATATCCCAAGTTGTTTAATTCACATGATTACCACCTAGTTAGTCTATGGTTAGTTAGTTTATTGTGTATTAAAGGATCCCTATTAAAATTCCTGGGCTTAAGAACATGAAACATACAATAAGAAACAACTTCAAATATAAAAGTACAAGGCAAATAAACCATTGAGTGAGGACAAGAATAAAGTGATAATTAACTTAAAAGTGTTACTTTTGCAAAATGTAAAAGTAAAAGTACTCAATGCAGAAAAATTACCCCTGGTGTTATTATAAATTATATCATTAGTTCATATTTTTGTGTGCAAAGTCTTAGTTCGCAAAGTAACTAGCTGTCAGTTAAATATAGTGTCAAAGGTACATTTCTCTCTGAACTGTATAGTGGAGAAGAAGTATAACATGTCATGAAATAGAAATACTTGTGTAAAAAGTACAAGCGCCTCAAATTTATACTTAGGTACAGTACTAAATGCAGCGTACTTAGCAGTGGTAGAATAAGTATTCAGTGTTACTCAAGTAAAAGTAGCAAAACCACTCTGTGAAAATACTCTACAGGAAAAACATCAAAACATCAAAGTGTGTATCAGCAAAATGTACTTAAAGTATCAGAGATAAAAGTACTTATTATGTAGAAAAATGGTCCCTGTCAGTGTTTTACATGTTTTTTTTAAGTAGAATACTTTTCTCATCCTATAAAGGAACAATTAATCCTTCAGTTTATCAGACAAATGTTGATTCAAAAATCTGGAGATACATGGTTTTCACTGTACAGAAGGGGAACGAAAATAAGTACACACATAAAAATCGCGATATTTCTCTCTGAGATTTAGTGGAATAGAAATATAAAGTTACATAAAATGGAAATTAGTGGTTAAGTGTGGTAAAGTAGTCTACAAGTAACTAACTACTTAAGAACAGTACTTGAGTACTTGAGTTCCACCACTGATTTCCTTAAAATGCCATGTCAAGCAGTAAGCCTATAAGAAAAAGGAAGAAAACATTTACAATTATTATAACTGCAGTGTAATATCATATAGCACTAAAGAAAAGAATTAGTTAGACTTCTTTATTTCCATTCATTGACGCAAGATCCTGCCCACAGACAGGCGCGTGAGCTCGGCCACGTGAGGGAGACACCGCTGAATTATTGCTGTTTTTGTTGTTATTGATGGTGGTAAATGTTTACCCCGCCCACTGGTCTGTCCTATAATAAGTGCTGGGAGCCGGCAGCAGCAGCCTCCTCTGCCTCATACGGAGCTGAGCGGCTCGACACAACTGTTTCACTGAAAATGGATGCCAACATTGTTGTCATGGGGACAGAAAGTGTCGGGAAATCAGGTAAAAACTTTTCTGTGGAGAAGAAATTCTTTTATATAACTCATGTTTCTGTTGCACATGGTGTGTTAAAGTAAATATGGTTGTTTTTCAGCTCTGACAGTGCGCCTCTTAACCCGGAGATTCATCGGAGAGTATGGAGATATTGGTAAGTTTTACTGACATCGAAGCAGTGCAGTCTTTTAACTTGATCTAACTTTCCATTAACTTAACTTTATGTTATTGTGCAGAATCCATCTACAGTCACAGCTTTATGGTCGATGGGAGGGAAACCGCTCTCAATATTTGGGACTCACCTTATTCTGAGGTAAGGAGATGTATAAATACAGTATCTGACAGTATCTGACTATTCTTCTGACATGCTGTGCAGTTACCAGTGGTACAAGTACTCCTCAAATCCTCAAATTAAGTAAAAGTAGAAATACAATTTAATAATAATCCATTAAGGTTTCTTCAAAAATGAAGTATAGTTTAGTAAGTTTAGCCTAATGTGCATTAAGTATCAAATGTATAGATAAAAGTCCCTTTCATACTGTTATAATATAGTTTATATTTTGTATTATTTTATCATTACTGACATGTGTACACAACATTTAACTGTTTCAGATCATTTTAGCTTAGATCTTAAATAATGTATCATATTTTTGAAGAAGATGTTTCGTGTATAACATCTTTCAAATGTAGTGACATAGAGGTACAAAGTAACATACAAATAAATAGAAAAACTGAACTGGCTGTTGCTGCAGACAAACTTAAATGTCAGATTTTTACAGGATTTGTCCGTGGGGACGTCACTCTTTGAGAAGAAGGTCCAGTGGGCAGATGGCTACGTTCTGGTCTACAGCATCTGTGACAGGGCCAGTTTCAACACCGTCAGCCGGCTCATTCAGACAATCAAATCCACCAAAGACTACCTGAACGCCGACAAAGCGCCCATAGTGATTGTGGGAAACAAGAGGGACCTGCACCACAGACGGACGGTGCTGAGCGAGGAGGGCTGGCTGCTGGCTCTCAAAACAGACTGCCACTTCTATGAAGTGTCGGCGGCCGAGAACTACCACAGTGTGCTCATGGTGTTTCATGGGCTGGTGGACAGGATGAGGGACGCCAAGCTGACCGCGAAGAGGCCTCTGGGGTTCAAGGGCATAGTGAAAAGCATGTCTGCCGTTTTTGCCAGGAGACGGACGGACTCCTTTTAGTAAGACTGTGACAGAAGAGGAGTTTGTTTTTTATGAAGAAGAAGCTTCACATTATGTGTATTTGACTGGATGGATATCACAGTCTGATAGATGTGACACATGTTACGTTGTCCAAGGGAACAATGAAGTCTCCTGGGGCAGAGACGCTACAGAGAAAGGAGCTGCGTTTAAATAAAAAGCATGGAAAGACTCCAGAGAAGAAAAGAAGCCATTAAGCTTCAGAAAACATGAAGACAAAACAATGTCACAGAGGTTACAGATGTTTTTTGGTGATCGGTTTTGAAATTAACTGCACTTCAAGCGACAAGCTACACAAAACTGATGAAATACTATAGTCTCATTCATTATGCAGATATATATGCTATTATGTGCAAGAAGGTATGCAATATGTTTAGGATATATACCAGCTGTGGATGAAATTCTTTGCACGAATTAAATGTGCCTTTACTTACGATGATGACCAAAGATAATGTCTTAAGACTAAAGACAGCTCTTCAGTTCACAAGTGAGACTTTTGTACTGCTGGAAAAAGGGACTGAAAAGTGTCCTGCTCAATCCTGTAGTTAATTCTAGAAAGTAAAACATACTTATTTGTATTTATTCAAGTCTAAACACTGTAAAGCAAAAGAACAAATTGTTTTTCTATATTTATGAATCTAACTTTGTTTTATGACTGACAAGGATTTATTAAAGCATTAAATGTAGAAATATGCATTTTGATTTTCATTCATGTTGATTCTAAAATTCAAATGTTTGTTTCCCAGTAATGTGATTATTTATTGACCCCCATAAGGCTCCATTATCATAAGTGATGATAATGGATCAGCTTCAGGTCAATGAGGCTGGATCTGGTAGAGACTCTCCCAAAGCAATGGTCTGATGGGACCCGCCAATGACTTATATCTAGAGAAGCTGGCCAGAACTAGCATCCTTATTTGTGAAAATGTGTATCTTTCTTTGATGGGCACAGGGAGGAAAGGACTCTGACTTGTGAATCAGCCAGAAAACCTTAAGTGGACCTGCCTCCTCACAGGCTGAGAGCAGGGCTGTGACTGTTTTGACTAACTCCAGTTTTCACTTTTGTGGTTGTTTAGTCCAAGATCAGAGATGCGTAGGAAATATTGAACTGCTTTTATCAAACATGCTCTTCAGACAGCAATTACACAACTCTTTTGGGTGCAAGTAATTGTTAACTGAGTATTTGTTTAGGAATAAGAATGAGATTGAATGTATTTGCTGCATGAAATAGTTTGCAAAAAGCAACCGTGGCAGGTTTAAAGACCTGCAACAACCGCTGAACACTAAATGTATTGAATGGGGTCCACACAAATGACACTGGGTACAAAACATTTAAATACTTGAATAGATCCTCTCACTTGTCCTCCAGTCTAGATCTTAAATCATGCTAAAACTTCATCCTATCCTTTCTGAAACTAGGAGACCATTTTCCCTAAAAAATTCAGCTAATTTGTCGCTGGCTTGCTCCAGTGAACTTGGTCTGACCCTCAACATTATGTGGCAGGGACATCTATTCTTCTTTTCCTCCCTTCAACCCCCGTCATTAGGGAAGATGTCCATCTTTGTTGCCATTAAGGCAGCAGCATCGGAGGGCAAATGGCAGGTAATCTGGTGCCAGCTCCCCCGTGTTTCTATTCTATTGTGTATGAGGAATCTGACAGAAACAAGGTACAGGTTAACAAAGTAAGACTGGGGCAGTATGGCCCCTGCAGGTCCTTGCAGTCTCTGACCCCTCTGGGTCGCTTCACAACAGGAACCAGAATAATAACACCACCCTGACAAGGATGTTCCACCTGAAAGAGCTGCCTTCAGCTTTAATGGAGCTGAAATCATGTGTCTCCACCACAATGACACTGACACAGGAATGAAACAAGATTTACAGAAAACTATAAATGTGTACACAGGATGTTTGTACACCACATCTTTCAGTTTGAGATGAAAATAATTTCAGGAGATGAGCTGTGTGGAGGAAAATACATTTGGGAGAATTAGGATGTAATTAAAATATTGCATTAGCATCTTAAATTCACAACCCTTGAATGAAACACTTGACAAGCATTTTCTGCTACAAAAGATACATTTGTGACATTTAACACACTGTGTACAACATGCACATTTATGACGCCTGAAATGAAAAAAAGAAAAAAAAGGCGAGCGCATTTTGCCATTTAGTGTTGGTAAAGAGATGTAAAAGGGCACTTGTCAGCACTTAACACCATTAAATGCATTATAGGTACGGTATAAAGCCCTGGCCAAGAGTCATGAAAATGCACTGTGGGCACAATATTCTTGGCTGCTTGTCCAACATGTTTTATGTATCATACATTTCATGCAGGAGGTCTCAAATTCAAATTTCTAACTGCTGGTATAGTCATCTCATAGAAGGTCCACTTCAATGTTACTACATGTAAAGCGCAATATTCTGAAATTATTTCATACTTAACAAAAATGCCAACAGCAGTTTCTATATATTTTAATAACATCATCTTATATCATCTTTGTTATTCCCAGCTAAACAACAAATGCAGGCCTGAAACCTGCTCTCCTCTTATCAACACGCATTTGCGGACACATTTGACCTTTGCCATTTTTTTGCTCCAAACTAAATATTATCAAGTACTGAGTTATCTAAATAGATAGTACTTGATAAAAATACTACATTTTTAAAACTATAATTCTTTTTTGTATTTTAACTGTATATAAAGAGGTAGTTTAAATTAACATAAAACAACTAGAAAATAATAATAAATAATTTTGCTCTTGGTTTATCTTATATTTTTGTAATCCTGTCGCAGTTGGATGGAGGGGACTGCCATTTTGAGACCCCTGATTTAACGGTACAGCATACAGCATGTGACACTTGACACTCCATGAAAATCAGTACATCTGAACCAATAAAGAGTAGTCGTGTGTGCTTTACTGTTCTCCAGCCTTTAAAGAAAGCTACCACTCTTCAAGCCTCTCACACCACACCTCAGATATCTACCCAGGGGCAACTTTTTCTGGTATACCTTTATTGCTGGTGAACATGACGCAATTCGTCAAGGTGCCAGAAAACCTTTAACAGAGATCTACAGAATATATGTTTATGTAGTATCAGACCTTGTGTAGAAAACTGTAACCTGACACTGAACTCATACTGCAGGTCAGCATCAGGTTCCCTCTGTATTTAACAAACAGGTACCTTTCAGTCACGGACCTCCTTTAAACATTTATACTTGAAGAAGATTTCTGACTGAAAGCTTTAAAACGTAAAACGTTTTTTAAAAACTGTTCAGGGGATCAATTCATTGAAGGCAGTAGGGATCATAACTGGAATATTTCGAAGGGTGAACCGGGATGATGTTTGATCAAGTGTCAAGTGTCATTGTTTTTATTTATCTATCTTAGTTTATGGTATACTTATTCTGAATTGTATTCTCTGTTAATTATCTGTGCATCATTGCACATGTATTTTGTATTGCTCTGATCGATATATATATATATATTTCACGTGCCTGCTCCCATGGTCCCGCTTGACCCATACTGCCTATATTACTGATATTATGATTACGATTATTATTCATCATTCCCCATCATTGTGGCTATTGTCATTGTCATCGTCATTAGTAATTTCTACCAGTATAGTAGTTGCTATTGTTGGTGCTGTGAACTTTTGTCAGTGTTTCTGTCCTTATCTCTCTACCACCCATCCCCTAACACCTCTGCCCCTGACCCCCTTCTCTCTATAACCCCAACTGGTCGAGGTAGACGGCCACCCACCTAGTGCCGGGGTCTGTCTGAGGTTTCTGCCTCTTAAAATTAAGTTTCTCCTTGTTGCTGTCGCCAAGTGCTTACTCCTGGTGGGAACTGTTGGGTCTCTGTAAATAATTTCATAAGGAGTACGGTCTAGACCTACTTTTGTTATGAATTGGCGCTTTACAAATAAAATAAAATTGAATTGAATTGAATGCTACTAATAAGCTTAAGCTGTAAATGCAGCGAATATTCTATACTTGTGCATCTGTCAAGTGCAGTTCCTGAAGATTTTCAGGAAATCAGCACATTGATCTATTGAGTCAACATTTAGGAACTCTATTTAGATAACTCAGTACTTAATATCTTATTCCTGAGACTACCTGGTGAGGGGAAGTGCTTCATTGGAAAAATAGAAGTTGTGGTCCACAACAAAATTCACAACCTGCCTTTAAACAGGCCACAGGCCAAGAAACCAATCCTCACATCATTATACTACTTTCACATTTTATTTTTCGAGCACATTTCAATACAAGGTAACTCCATCTGCATTAAAATACACAAGACACACGCACACACACTGACTTCAAAACAGGAAGCTGTTTTTACACTGCAGCCTTCCTGGAGGTGTTTGTTTGCAACACCATTTCAGTAAATTGAATCCCAGGAGTGTGGCAGCTCCTGAAATGATGGTCTTGTGCATCAGACACATATTGTGACTCTAACCTTTTAACATTTTGTCAAATAGTAACAAAGCCACTGGACCCTGACTGAATATTTGAAGTCAAAGTCACTTGAGTAAACAGGGCAGTATCCATGTGTAAAGAGCACTTCTTAACGTTTCCCAGAAAGTACTCAAGGCCTTTAAACAAATCCAGATCAAACAATGATGCTACCATCCTAAATAGTTTGGACATTTTAATTTCAAAACATAATACACAGTCTATGTATTCTTTCCAGCATGTCTGAGCTGAGCATCTGCAATGGCATCATCAAAAGGCAGCTGATGATTGTTGTACCAGCTATGCCTGCAGGTAATCAGAGGGTCGATGTCGCTGTGGCTTCAAAGAAAAAAAATAAAAAATGACATGAAAGTAAACTGTGCAACCAATCTTCATATGTTTTTTTTTTTTTACAAGGAATATCGACAGCATGAAAAGATTTCTCGATTCTCTAACTGTATAGCCGACTTTGACATCCAAAATGTAATAAAAATGCACCAAAATGTAAGACATCCACTGAACGCTGTTTCCTGGCAGCACGTTTTCCAGAGACATAACAGCTGATCAATACAGTAACACAAGGTAATTTTCTTTTACCTTATTAAATAAAAGAGGCCTTATTTCATTACTGCGTAAGCAACTTAAATGTGGTAGGAGGTCAGCAAGTTCAGCGACATGGTAAACAAAGAAATAAAACGAAGGGAGAAGGTGAGACTTGTCGTAAGTTTATCAAAATCAGTCAATACCTTGTGCTGAATATAAAGGCAGTATTGTACTGAGCACACACAAATGAACAAATATGAATTAAAAATGTCTCTTATAAGGTGATTTTACAGGGTGTGTGAATTATTTTTGTACTACTAATAAAGACCTTTTAATGAAAGAAAATTGCAGTATGACACTTCAGTCAAATAGTCAAAAACAGAAGGTAAGAAAAAATGGTCTATAAAGGCTTAAATTAACTTTATTTGGACGGTTTTTAGTTTATAGCTTCTGTCAGTCTGTCTCTGCATCCACTATTTGTATTATACTTATTCATGTAGACTGACAAACTGAATTACCAAGATGTTTAAATTATGTACTTCTTCTTTATGAAGAAGTATAAATAAACAAATGATTTTAACTTTTTCTATGTTTGCTGAGTCTGCAGGAAATATGAGTTCACCAAGGCAGAGATCAGTTACTGGTGTTCTAGCTCTTTTTTGAAGTTAC